TTGTGTGTGTGTGTGTGTGTGTGTGTGTGTGTGTGTGTGTGTGTGTGTGTGTGTGTGTGTGTGTGTGTGTGTGTGTGTGTGTGTGTGTGTGTGTGTGTGGTAAAGAACATTTCCTGTCTGTGTAATGTCTACTTCACTGTAATGATATTATAGCAGCTGAACCCTGTGTGGTCAAGTTAAACAAAATACTTTTCATTGTAATATTTCACAGCAAGTCAAGTTTATTTACGCAGCAGATTTCAACACAAAGCATTTCAAAGTCCTTGAGAGCAGAGGGAAACCATCACAAGACAGTGAAGCAGGAACACGTCACAAAATGACATTTCAGAACATTTAAACAGTCATTAAAAAGCCAAGAGAACACAAACAAAAAGAATCATAACACAGGTTTGAGTCCCATCCCTTCTTTAACCCAGTACTAAGTACATAAATATATCAACTGGCATGTCTCTATAATATTCACCTTTGAAAGCCACATGTTTACCATACTCCTTTGACATCTGGGCGCTTTATATATATATGTCTTGTTCTTACCATTTCAATCCTATTCAATTTAAATATTGCTATATTTTTTTACATATATTTTTATGTTATTATAGTTTTCTTCAAATAGTTTTCTATCCGTCTGTAATTTTGGTTTTATTTTTATGTTTGCACCAAAACACCAAGTCAAATTCCTCGTATGTGTTAAACGTGTTTCTGATTCTGATTGAGTTATCAGAAAGACAAGCTTAGCATACTGGTAGGTTTTCACCTGTTTGGGGAGTTTATATCCAGTTTACTTCGTTTTAACATTGAATGGACAGGCTTTGTATGTCGGGGGCGGGCGGGAGATTCCTGGGAGATTCCTGATTGGTTGTTGGTCGCCTTGGGCGCGTGAAATCGCCAAGCTTCAGACACGCCCAGCATCAAGATTTTTCAAGATTTTTTTCATGCCTGTGTGTGGACGGGCCAGTTCCCACCGAGAAAACATACATTTGTCAGTGTTTTAATCACCTGGTCTATTTGCTCTGGGAAGGAGGAGAGCTCTGTAGGTTATTCAGCTCGATTCAAAAAGGAACCCTAAACCAGAGAAGCTAAATATGATTTAGAAAACTACCAGAATCTGCTCGGAGACTTTCCAATTAAAAAAGAAATGTGTTCATGTATAAAAGCAGCAAGTAAAACAAGCATTTTCTGTGATTTTCAACAAACTGTGTGTGTGTGTGTGTGTGTGTGTGTGTGTGTGTGTGTGTGTGTGTGTGTGTGTGTGTGTGTGTGATCAGCTGATGAGCCCTCTGAATCGGGAGCAGGCGTCCTCGGCTCGCGATGCTTTGTCCAAGGCGGTGTACGGACGCACCTTCACCTGGCTGGTGAACAAGATCAACGCTTCACTGACATACACGGTACACACACACACACACACACACACACACACACACACACACACACACACACACACACACACACACACACACACACACACTGAGGTCTGAAGGAGAGTGCTACTCCAGGTCCCAATGCTCTACTGCTGCCCATCAAACTGTTGATTGCAGTATTAGTCCACACACACACACACGCACGCACACACGCACACACACACACACACACACACACACACACACACACACACACACACAGTATTTGACATTGTGAGGGATTACATGACACATTCCACTTCCTGTTTCCATCGTTGCTGCTGCAGCACTAATTGCCTCCCTGGGGTTAATTAAGTTATAATTGATTGATTGACACTCTAACACTGTGGTTCATGTAGAGGTCTCCCCTTCAATGTTTTACACCACAGCACCACCTAGTGGACATTTATGGGTCTACAACTTGATGACTTCATATAATATAGTATTACATCTACAGTATATTATTCTAGTTTAGGGTTTTTATTATTGTGTCTAATCAAATAGGGTTAGACCAACGTACTGGCTATACACTAAGATGGTGGTTTATCTCGATTCATTGTAGAAGGCCTACTTTATTTTATATCAACTTATAAAAAAGCTCCTTATTCTGATATGTACAGTTTATATTATTGAATGGAGCTATTAAACAATATGTAATGGGTAAATTCTGAAGGGACATTGTATTTTTTATTCAATATTTATAAAAAAAAGTAGCTTCTTTACTTTGAGGCTTTACTTTCAGTAGAGTTTTCTCTTTCAAATAAATCTGAATATTCGTTCCACTTTTCAACAGGACGACTCCTCGAAGCATTACTCCGTCATCGGCCTCCTCGACATCTACGGCTTCGAGGTCTTCCAGCACAACAGGTACACTTTAAGGACACTTTGTGATGTCACAATGTTTTGTGGCTTGTGTCAGTCAAACAGAGTCAGACGGCAGAGACAGATTTGTTTTTAGGGAGCTCCGACGTCATGTTGTTTTTTAAACATATAAATATCTTTACAAATAATGTTGTTTTTATTTCAATTCAAATATGATTTCCTTTAAGTTTAGACTAGGGCATGCTTTCAATTGTATTTTTTTCTTTTTGGGTTGTGCAACCATTAGCCAATCACCAACCAAGGTGTTTTTTAACATGCATGCTTTTGGGAAAATGTTGAATGAAAAGCAGAAATAAATAACTTCTTCTTCCCTTGTTGTTGTTGTTTTTGTTGTTGTTTTGCAGCTTCGAGCAGTTTTGCATCAACTACTGCAACGAGAAGCTGCAGCAGCTCTTCATCGAACTCACCCTGAAGTCTGAGCAGGAGGAGTACGAAGCCGAGGGCATCACGGTCAGTCAAATGCAGGAATAAGACAAAGATATGCATGTTATTGTTTCTTTGTTGTTTTTCACAGTGAAAGTTTGACATGATACCTCTTAAAGATATATCACGCAATAGGCTATTTCCCACTTTACAATGTACTAAAATAACTAAACCTATTATACATGTGTTTGAGCTGTGTAGGCTACTCACATTGTGCCAAGTGCTTCAGAGAAATTTGTCATTTGAATGAAGTAAAGGTATGTTCCAGTTTTTTAAAGAAATTCTGAAAAAAATGTGGATATTCTCTGAGAAAATCTAATTTTACAAAGAAAAATCAGATTTATTTTTAGTTTGTCCTTAAATCGATCACTTTATGTTATAAGTAATTATTCATTTTACTCTTAAGTGCCGTTATATGACTTCCTAGTGAAGGATTTGGGTCATGGGACGTCTGGATCTGAAGTTATCACAGAAACTTGGTTAGCAAACGTTAGCGGTTAGCTTTTAGCCCTTTCCTTCAGACCCTGACAGAAAAAAGACTGATTTTTAACGTGGAACTGTTTTTATTCTGTGTTTTTAGAGGTTTCAATTGAGAAGATACGTTTGTTTTGGAGAAGATGAGACATCAGCAAATAATTTGGCTCATGGTAAAACCACTTTATTGTCTGTAGCCTATCTTAAGTTATCAGAGAAACAAGCTGAGCTAACGTTAGCGGTTAGCTTTGAACCCATTCGTCCAGTCACCAGTGGCGTTTCTATATGTACAAAAGTGGGGAGGCACAAAAAACTTAGATGTCTATATATAAGCTTCTGCAGTGAGGTGCAGTGAGGTTCATGGCTGCTGAGGCACTGACTCTTCAGGTTTACAAATATTATTCAACAAAAGGATACCAAAAAATGTAATTTTATCATTTAAATATTGAATTGTTCTCTCTTAGTAAGATCCCATTTTCAATAAAATGGCGGTCTTCCCTTGACTTGAAGATGAAGTCCATTTGCCTATCCTTCTGGACAAACATCTCTATTACTTGTTTGTAAAAGTCCTCCTTATCTTCTTGTAGTTTCAAAAGTCTATCATAAATCTAATCGATAGATTTATGATTAGAAAATTATAAAAGTAGGGTAGACATGTGGATATTATCCGGCTGAACAAAACTTGCATTTATCTAGTTTCCCACAGATCTTATTTTGAGGTATTTTCTAAAATCCTATGGAGAAATCTCATTGCTATTTGTGGAGGGAACCCATGCGCAGCTTACTTCTGGTTTTGGGACCGCCCCTCTCTCTCCTCTTCACACACCACACTTTTCGCGGCACACGTACTTACAGCCAATCAGCTCTGAATGATGTGAGATGACGTATGGTGGGGATCACTGCCCCTATGGTCATAATTTTTTGCCACACACATTAAATAGGACAATACTCTGAGCAAGCGCAGTGTAGTTTTTACAGTCACCGTTCACTTAGACAGTGAGAGGGAGGGGCATGATCGGGTTTTGTCCCACATGGCTCTAAACAGCTCAATAGGCACACACTGTAGACACTAATTAGAAGAACACAGACTAAAACAACA